AGTAAGTCACACTTAATACGAGTACAGCAGCAGAAAACTGGTATGAGACTTGTCCCCGTACCATACGGGGAACCGGTCTAAGTACCGGTGACACGAACGGTACCAAGGGCATGTCATAAGAGGCCCCGAGGGCCTGTCTCTTATACACATCTAGATGTGTATAAGAGACAGGAAGGAGGGAGGAGGCGGGGAGAGGGGAGAGGAGGAGGCGGGAGGAGGCGGGAAGGAGGCGGGAAGGAGGCGGGGGAGGGGAGGCGGAAGTGGCGGCAGCAGGCGGAGGCGGGCAGAGGCAAGCGGAGGCGGAGGAGGAGCGGAGGTGGAAGCGGGGGAAGCAGGGCGGAAGCGGGGGAAGCAGGGCGGAAGCGGGGGAAGCAGGGCGGAGGAGCGGAGGCGGAAGCGGGGGAAGCAGGGAGCGAAGGCGGGAGGCGGAGTCGGAAGCAGAGACGGGAGTGAAGGCGGGAGGCGGAGGCGGAGGCGCAGGCCCAGGTGCAGGCGGAGGCGCAGGCACAGGGGGAAGTGGAGGCGGAGGCGGAGGCGGAGGCGGAGTCGAAGGCGGAGGTGGAGGGGATGATGTGAGGCGGGAGCGGAGGCGGGAGTGGAGGCGGGAGCGGAGGCGGGAGCGGACGCGGGAGCAGAGGTGGGAGCGGAGGCGTGAGGCGGTGGCGGGCGGTGGAGGCGGTGGCGATGGCGGGAGGCGGAGGCGGAGGCGGGAGTGGAGGCGGGAGTGGAGGCGGGAGTGGAGGCGGAAGTGGAGGAAGAATAAACAAGAAGAAGAAGAAGAAGAAGAAGAAGAAGAAGAAGAAGAAGAAGAACTGTCTCTTATACACATCTAGATGTGTATAAGAGACAGGGCGGAGGCGGGGGCGATGGTGGAGGCGCAGGGAGAAGTGGAGGCGGAGGCGGGGGCGGAGGTCGAGGCGATGATGGGAGGCGAGAGCAGGAACGGTGGCGGGAGCAGAGGAGGGAGCGGAGGGCGGTAGGCGGAGGCGGAGGCGGAGGGAACGTAGCGGAACAGAGTCGGGAGTGGAGGCGGGAGGAGGCGGGAGGAGGCAGGAGGGCGGGAGCGGAGGCGGGAAGGGGAG